ACGTGGTTGCAGAGCTACCGGGATTTAAAAGTAGTTACGCAAAACAGAGCGTGCTGCTCTGACCGGCTTTAAAGGGTTAAGAGATTACAGGATGACCCTGCTCTCAGCAACGGGACCGCTCTCAGCACCAATCAAGTGTGTTTGGACTTGGAACTGTGTCTTCATTCCACCTATTTCACATACCAGGGTCAGTGCTACAGACAGAAACACAGGTGTGCCATGGGCTCCCAGTTTCACCCATCGTGGCTAACTTGTACATAGAAGAAGTAGAAAAGAGGGCCATGTTATCCTACCCAGGAACACAACCTGATTCAGGTATGTGGATGACACCTACAGGCCAGTGGACACTCTTTCAATGAGGATGTAACATCCTGTACAGGGAGGAACGCTGGTGTAAGGGTGAGTCGAGGAGGCCATTTACGTGAAAAGAGACCATCTCTGAATCGAGGAGGGGGTCTAATTGTACATCTTTCAGCATCTTACAATGCTGTGATTGGAGCCATTCCCCAACTCTCTGTGAATGGGACTCATGGTTATTGATCAAGTGTCATTTATGTGCAATCATCAGAGGAAACCTGCAGTCAGCTGAGACTGAAGCAGTCACCTGGATGAGTGACGACACGTTTCTCTGAAAACGTCCAGATGAACAGAATCAACCTTTTGTGATTTCCTTACCTGGAAGATTGAGCGTGCATCAAGATACATGATAGTTAATTCAGTATCTGTGATGCTAAATGGACTAGTTATTAGTTATTAGTTATTAGTTATTACGTGGTGCTTTTCTGCTTTACTTGAGCTTCCACGATAGCTTCCAAACTCCATTGTCAGTTAAAAATAAGGTCACCGTTTTGTCATCAGTCAATTTAGGTTGAATATAAGTGAGATTTTTTGGTGTAATACTGTTACAAATAAGTATTTGTGTTCTCTACTTACCTTCCTGTCATTAGGTTCTGCACTCAGCCCTTCAATGTCTCCCTGTAACACACAGGTTTCATATTCAGTATTAGACATATTTCCACTGTATAAAAGCCTCCCATGTTGACTTTAGGTTAAAATTTAAAAAAGGAATATTGTTAAAAATAACAACAATAATACATTTATTTACATTTTACA